AGAGCTGCTTTAAGGCCATCCCACAGCAACTTGAAAGGCAATTAGCAGAGGACAGCAGAGTGCAGGCGATTAACGGAGAGGAAAAAGCAAAAAACTTAGCAATTCTTGACGCAGCGTACAGAGAAAAAAATGGTGGGATAAAGGGACCAGAGGAATTCACTATGTAGTATCTCTTGAAAGGCATAACTGGAATCGGACGGGATTTTGTTGCTGTGGAAAAGGGTGAATCACAGGCGTGAATCAAAAACGCAAACTATAAGATTCGGCTCGGGGACTTGAGTTATGATCATAATGGAAGGAAAATAATGTTATATATAGGGCATAACAGGTTGTGATAGTGGTTCGTGCGTTTTGCGGCTTGCCCTTTGCGGCTTGCGGGAGCCGTCGGGGACTTCGACGACTTCTGACAGTCATGTCAAGATACGTAGACGTCCCAGAATGCGTGCAAGGTTGTGCATAAGGTACTCCTGCAGGATTTTTTGGATCTTGCGCAGACGACAGGCATGGTGATCCGTTTACGTTTGATTACAAGCTTCTTGAGCTTGTACGGCCCAGACGAGCCAAGAGGCTCATGGTGATCCTCTTAACACCATACGTAACCGACTACCTGCATGTAGAACTCGTGTGCAGTGCGCGGCCAGGATTCCAAAGGCAAGTCCTTCTGCAAACGGACGCAGTCGTGTTACAACAACTTTTACGCGAGGGCCCTTCAAAACTTAAGTTACGGACAAGTTAAACTTCGACGTCGCAAGCTCGACACGCAAGGAACATTGCCAGCAGTTACGGCCAGGAGGTCAACCAAACATACTTGTACACATTGAGGTGATTCCAGGGATTCCGCTTTAGTGTGGGCACTCTTACGTCGCCGAGCGGGGGCTTCGGCAAGAAACGCATACTAGACCCACCTGCAAGGAATGGAATAGCCTCAATGCGCGGCACAATGCTTTGTGCTCCTTGAAGTGCTTTCGCTGGCATTCCTGGTTACAGTACCATGCACTGTCGCAGGCCCCGCAGCGCAGCAGCTTGCCCGGTGCAACATTGCAGCAGGCCGCACAAGATACCCCAGTATTAACCACATGTGGTGGATCCATAGTTATACATGCCATGTTTTTCTTTGTCCACGCCCTGTTTCCACATAGATTGCCTGTCAAGTGAACCTTCAACCTTCCGACAAATGATCAGGGTGCATCATAACTTAATAACACTTCCATATGATCGCTGAAAAACGCGACATGTGTAGATCCATTTAGACCTTCCTCAAGGTTTCGGAGCACCGGTTGAGAACCTGTCAACAACTATCAACTTCAGAGAGGCCAGAGCGTTCACATTTCGCTGTGAAAATTTGTAGGGTAGTATGCTATTATCGTCTCCCCTATCGACTCCTTAATGCTGATCCGTCTGGCTTTAAGGGTTGAGAGCCCTGGTACCGCACTTCTCCCTTTAAATTCAAGGAAATAGGGGGGTCCTTGTGAAGCAGCTGCCCGCGTTTCCAAAGCACGTATGGTGTTGGATTGTAAGGTGCCCAAGTACGTTTGCGAGGAAGAGAATGTGGCCAGGCTGGAGAAGAAAGTGCAGTGGCATATTGGAATGTGAGATTAGCGTAAGCGAGTTACAGGGCGTTTGGCGCACGGGCGAATTTACGTGCATACCTTTCACCGTAGCATCAGTCCTCAGTTCACTTCTTGGAACGAACATCAGCATAGGTCCAAGCCCTCTCGCTTGGACCAAGCCCTCTCGCTTGGACCAAGCCCTCTCGCTTGGAGGGATATGCAAACAAACATCCTGATAGGGGTAAACTCGCACGCTACCGAGCATTCAACCGAGCACATGCATGCTTAGTTGAGTGGTGAGATGCGACCCCCCCTTCATTTCGTGCTCGGCAAGCCTGCCACCGCGTACCGGATATGTTGGCGATGTTACAGAGACGCTGCACCTTGGTTTCTGTGCGCAATGCGTACGATGCTCGACCCCGCCGACCAAAACTACACGTGCCCAACTGAAGACATTCCCGGTGGTTGTGCAGCAGCTCTTGAGGCTGTTGCTGGCTGAAATCCATCCTGAGCTGTTGCAACACGGCTAACGCGGGCACGTCCCTATGCACAGCAAATAGCTGTTCCAAGCCAACAGCGGCGTCCATGTCACCGACAAGGCTCTAAACGTCTTATCTGTTCTTATGCTTAATTAAGTTTATGTATGTTATACTTTGCGCAACTTTGTAATTTGACTTTACTCTGAACAAGGTGCTGTATACGTTGCACTACCAAAAACGCGACCGTTTGCTTGCACACAACTGCCTCTTCGTCAGACGCTTCCTCTTCCCGCGGCAGTTTCACGAGCCCAGTCTTGCAAGCTACGACGTAGGCTTTCGGTGCTTTCAGTTACTGCAATGCAGCCACGCAATAGTCCAGCCTGCATGCCGCGTGCGGCTGTGGCCAACATGCCCACCTGCGCAACGCGCTGGCGCACCTCGTCCTTTCTCCACGAAAATTTATATACACTTATACAGGCGCATTTTGCGAATCGCACGCGCGCATCCGCGCGGCAAAATTCGCTCCTGGCTTTTTTGGACGATGTACGAACCGTTTATTCGGCAGAGTACGACCGCTCACATTTCTGCGAGGGGCTGCTTAATAATAGAATGGGGAGGCCTAAATAGAAGCCTACAGCTTTTGTGGTTGGCGAGTCGCAGGAGTTCCCTGCAGTGGCAGAGCAGGTTCGTCCCGCGGGACGAAAGGACCTCTCAGCTCAAGCTTCGCAAATGCCAACACTCACGTTTGACACTCTTGAACCCTAAGTCCCAAGGGGAAATCCAATCGTCCATCCTTGAATACCTCAAAAGACTACACTATAACTCGACGGTTGTCCATACTGGTTGTCCATCCACCTTTTTAACTGCTGAACTTCCACTTGCGCAACGAACCCTCGCCTCGCTCCTCCCTATCGCCACCTGCTCCTCATAATCAGGGGTTCGAAACCGCGTATGTGCAAATTGGCGGCGTGTGCATCACCAATCACGGCCTCAGCCGGTCCCACGGCCCCAGCGGCAAGTCGCCGCATCAGGAACCGTGGCGGTCTCTGCCCCAACATCAACCGCGGCTGCGGGCCCCCCGGCGCGCTGATGCAGACAGCGACCGTGACGACGACGGTGATGGCGGCGACGGCTGCAGCAGCGACGCGCTGGAAGAGGATTTGCAGGACTACCTGGAAAATGTGCTGGGCGCCGCCGATATCAGCAGTAGCAAGCAGAGCGGTGCCAGTAGCAAGTCTCGTAGCAGTAGCGCAGGGCGCAGGCGTCCCGCTGCCGTCGCCGCCGCCACCTCCGCCCACGGTCCAGGTTGGCAACCCCTCTGGGCTTTCCCGTCAGTGGTCCGAGTCAGTGGTCCGAGAGACTTTGACGAATCCTCCGCAGCGGTTCCGAGTACCGGCACTCGGCATATGCAATCCTGTCGTACATCCTTCTTTTCCATGTACAGCAATAAGGCCGTCATCATTCATTGCTTGCTCGTTTGGTTCGCATTTCATTTGATCTATTGTTTCCAAGGCGTGTTCGACGACTGGCAAATAGCTAAGGCCTAATATGACCCGTGGGTCAAAGTGCCCGTGGGTCAATGGGTGCTTTTTCGCTCCAAAGCTTCTAGCAGTGCTAGACTAGCACCACATTTATCTGCACTGAACTTTGGAATTACAGTTCGCATTCAAATCGTTTTCTTGTCACCCGCCACCCTGGTCCATGATTTTGCCGTGTCGTCCTCCAATCCGTTTTTTCTGGATCCAGCTGCAATTTTTGCCGTGCTAACTCTAACAGATGTAACCGGCTTTCTGACCACCTTTCTAATTTCTTTTAGCTACTGATGACATGGGTCCTTGGGGCCGGTCCTGGCTGGCACACTCCCCCCCCCTTGTCCCATAATCTCCTACACCATGACTCTTAAGAGATTCCTACGATGTCAAAAGATAATCATACACACAAATACAAACAAATACATATGTACATATACATGTATATGTGTATATATAAAATGACAGCTCTTGCTGGGATACGTGCAGGCAGCAGTGACGGCGATGACAGTGACGGCGATGACAACGATGATGATGATGCACGGAGGAGGAGGAGGGGGACAAAGTGGTCATGAGGGCTGTGGAAGGACTGGACAACGGAGAAGATGAGCAGAGAGAGGAGGAGGATGAAGATGAGGTTGAAGGAGGAGAAGAAGAAGAAGAGGAGGAGGAGGAGAAGAGGAGGAGGTGCGAGGTGACACCGTGATGCATAACGGTGTGAAGCATATGTTTCACAGGCTGCTGATCCGGCTTTGAGGGTCGAGATCTGGAGGAGTCAAGAGGGCGAGGAAGAAGGCGGCGGCCAGGGCAACCTGTATGAAGGTATGCATGGGCCGTACAACGTGATCTTGTACGATGTGTTTGAGATATCCTTGTGGGTCTTTGTGAGACCCACAAGGATGGATCTGCACGACATGGCTGTACGAGTTGCTGGATAGCATTTTGAATCTGAGTCATTGCAATACTGTCCAACTGGAGCTTCCAGACATCAACAACAAAAGCAATGTTTGCACATAATATCGGTGTGAACCGATTGGTTACAGGACGGATTCGCTCTGTCAATGTCTGGGCTCTTATCAAAGTAACCTGGGCCGTCAGGCCTCGCTAATGTTGACTCCTCGACACTGTGAACTTGGGCCATCAGGCCTCGCTAATCTCAATTCCGCGACACCCCAAATCTGGGCCGTCAGGCCTCGCTAATCTCAATTCTGCGACACCCCGAACCTGGGCCATCAGGCTGCGCTAATGTAGACTCCCTGGCACCCTGTATCTGGATCCTCAGGCTTCGGTAACGTGGACTGCACGACATCCCGAACCTGGGCCGTCAGGCCGCGGCCCAGGCCCAATGTTGACTCCTCGACACTGTGAACCCGGGCCATTAGGCCTCGCAAATGGGGACTCCGTGACACCCCGAGTTTGGGCCATCAGGCCGTGCTGGCATCGACTCCACGACATCCCAAACCTGGGCCGTCAGGCCTCGTTAATGTTGACTCCTCGACACTGTGAACCCGGGCCATCAGGCCTCGCCAAAGGTGGACTCTGTGACACCCCGAGTTTGGGCCATCAGGCTGTGCTAATGTTGACTCAGCAACACCCCATATCTGGATCCTCAGGCAGTCCATTTTACTGCACAACATCCTGAATCTGGGCCATCAGGCCTTGTTAATGTCAATTCCGCGACACCATGAGCCATCAGGTCCACTTGGGTCACATCCACCCTCATAACTGATACCCACCAGGGCAGTTACATCTGTGGCATTCCAACTTAAGCCATCCTGGCTGTCTTAGCTGTCATCTGCAGCATCCCAGCTGTAATTCGGTGGCCTCTGAAATCTGTTAAAGGCCACTCAAGTCGTACCCAGCGGTTTTAGCGGCCCTTCTGAAGTGGACGTAACAGGGCCATCACACGCTCGCAAGGACCAAACCTGCTGGAAATAGCCCTAGATTTCCCCCCCGCCCCAGCCAACCCAGCCGCGACACAAGAGTGGGTGGCTACCGGAGAAGAGGTAGAGAGAAAGAAAGTGACAACGAAGTATTTACCTGCATATGGGCAGGCGGAATCTGGTGTTGTCCGAGTAATGGGTGATGATGGCCCAGATGAGCACCAACCAGCCGCCACCGCTACACCTCAGATGGGCCATCAGGCCTCACTAATGTCGACTCCGCGACACCCCATCATGGGCCATCAGGCCTCCGCGACACCCCCAGCATGGGCCCTCCAGGCCCCTTCCCGTCGCATCCATGACACCCCAGCATGGGCCATCCGGGCCCCTTCCAGTCGCATCCGCGACACCCCAGCATGGGCCATACGGGCCCCTCCCAGTCGCATCCATGACACCCCAGCATGAGCCATCAGGCCTCCACGACAATCCCAGCATGGGCGTTCCGGGCCCCTTCCAGTCGCATCCACGACACCC